CATTCTCGTTTTTTCCATAAAACTGCAGTTAGTTCTCAGTTTTTCCATAGATGTGTCACCCTCATGTCCAGAAGAGCCATGGACTCATCTCTGAAGAGGTCTTGTCTCCCGCTGCATTTGTGGTCTCCTTTAGAATGTTTTCGTGGGATGCGTGTGACTCTCTCCTTTATTCCCAGCACCAGTGCCTGGGGTGGCTCCAGCCTGGGGGCGGTGATCAGAGCCAGGGGTAGGGACAGAGCAAGGTCTGGGTGCCCGGACCCTTCCAGGGTGGCTGGGTGTCTGGAGTGAGAGTGAGAAAGCTCTCGATGTCTGAGAAGTGCAAACACTTTCTCTTCCCTTCCTCTGGGTGAGTAGAAAAGCTCATTTCATTAATTTTAATTTTGCTGTCCCCCATAGATTTATCTTATAATTTAAATGAACATTGAAGGCCTCCCTGTGTCTATTTCGTCTGCTTTCAAACGAGTCAACTGAGGACAAGTGCTTTTCAGAGGTAAATGTTTATTCAGCCATACACCATTTTATTTTTAAATGCTTTACCTATCATGAAGTTTACCGCTGATATAGAAAACCCAACACCCAAAGTTAGAGGGGGAGAGGTTTATTTGACTCCCAGTTTGTAGAGGTTTTAGGCCTTCTTGACAGGTTCCAAGGCTTAGCAGAGGGGATCGCAGGGGAGAAAGCGCTCATGGCAGGCAGAAGGCAGCAGAGCCGCGAAGCAGCGAAGGAGCAGAGAGGATCTGCTGGCCTTCTTTGGTCCCTTTGTCTCCGCCCAGGCCACCTGCCTTTGGGTGGTGCCGCCCACACCCCAGTGGGGCTTCCTGTACCCACTGCCAGGACTGCGCTGGCCTGGTCAGCGGGCTGACTTACTTAAGGTGCCACATGCCCTCCTCCCAACAGCATACACTCTAGATGCAGCCGTTTCGGAAAAGCCCCGCGTATGACCGCAGGAGACTGGGGGGACTCTAGACGCAAGCCGTAATAACTGGTGAAGCATCTAACATTTCCGGAAGACCTGTTTTTCCTGAAAATTGTCTAGCACCAATTTCAAACACATTGAAGGTGCTTGAAGAAGAATAATATAAAGAACAATTAGCTTTTTTTTTTTTTTTTTTTTTTAACCAGGATTCATGTATTGTTAACATTTACTTAGTATGCTGACTGTGTACTTTGCTGTCTTTCAGGCATGCGTACCTGTGCAATGTGTGTGCATAGACAGATGTGTACAGTAATGTGCATACACAAGTGTAATTTAAAAATTTTAATTTTATTAGTACCTGCTTGCAGTTTGTAATGATTACATTCATTAGGGGCGTTATACCTGTGTGTAACACATCTTAATAGTCTTTGCAGCATCTTATCAAAAGAATCAATCAAGGTCAATCTCCCTGTTCCCTGTTATCTATCTTTTATTTTGCTCTTTATTTATATTTTGGACCTCTCATGTAAGGGGAAAACATGTGATACTTAAGGTTGTGTATCTGATTTACTTCATTTTACATTATGGTCTCAAGGTATATTTATTTTCTTACAGGTGACTCAAATTGTTCTTCTTTATAGTAGAGTAATGCTCCATTGTGTATAAATGTGTGTGCATTTTCTTTATCCATTCATCAGCCAATGGACACACAGGCTGCTCCCAAGGCTTACCTGTATGAATTGTGCTGTATGAACATGTATCCCTGTAATACATGGTACTTTTAACTCTTTTCGGAAGATACCCAGAAGGTGACGCATAGGTGCTTGAGTGGAATGTCTAGTCTCAGTGTTTCAGGAATGTCTGTACTGATTCCCACAGTGACTGTACTAGTTTACATTCCCACCAGCAATGCAGAAGAGCTCCTTTCCCCCTGCAGCCTCAGCAGCATTTGTTACCACTAGATTTCTTGATCCTGGCTGTTCTCTCTGGGGTAAGGTGGCATCTCGGTGTTAATTTGCATTTTTCTAATCGCCAGTGAAACTGAACTTTCTTTCATGTGTATGCACGTCTACTTATTTTAGCTGGCTATTTTTTGATTAGGTCTTTTACAGTATTTTCAGTGGCCTAATCTTTTTTCTTGAGTTCTTTATATTTCTAGGTATAAGTTCTCTGTCTCAGGTGTGTTTACTTTCCACTGGAGCATTTGAGAGTAAGTTGCATGTATCTTGGCCCCTCGTCCATAAGGACAGTTGTTAGTTTCAGTAAAGGCAATGCCTATGTGATCATTTAATTTGTCTTCCCATTGTCCCACGTAATGTGTATGTTTTCTCCAGGGCAGGCATGCAACTCTCATGTTTTTTAAAATCTCTGGAACATTCCATAGCCTTCTCCCATTTTTAATGCCATTGCTAGTTTTAAAGACAGAGTCTCCCACTTTTTAAACCTAGATGTCTCCTCACTTTGAAGTGTCTGGAGTTTCTTCGAGACTGGTGCAGGTTTATGTGTCCTGGGCAGAACACTACAGTGTGTTTGGTGGACAGTCCCATCAGGAGGCTGGGATGTCTGTCACTCCTCCTGTAATGTCAGGATTCACCATGCAGAAGGGTTTCTTCCTCCAGTGTAAAGAGTTATTATTTTCTCCTTACAACTAATTAGCAGTTTATAGGGATGCACTTTAAGACCATACAAAGGTCCTGCTCTTCACTGGATTGCCCCTGGATTTAGCATCCATTCATGGTTCTGCCTGAACCAGTCTCTCTTGTGATGGTAACCGCAAGGACAATCACACTGTCATGTTTGGCATTCACCACGTGACATTCCTTTCTCCTTGTGCGCCTGTGTGTGTGTCTTAGTCCACATCACTGCTGTGACAGCATACCTTGGCCTGAGGAATTTTTACAAGCAATAGAGCATCACTGCTTGTAAGAAATAAAGAGCAGAGCAAGATAGACTGTATCTGAGATTAAGATCCAAGAGGGGCGCTGGCCCTGGAGTGTGAGAACAGCAGCCGGGGAAGTCAGAATTGGAGGTGCTGCCGAAACTCCTGGTATCTGCGCACAGTTTGGAGACCTCCAGGGACTTCCCCAGCGCCTCCACTTCTGATTCACTGCTTTTCTCCATTCCACACCTGCTTCTGTCTCCTGTCACAGGGAGAACCCTGGATTCCGGCATCATCCACACGATTCCTCATGGACTCAGCCCCATGATCCTTCTAAGCTAGTTACAGATTGCTTCGCCTGAGTATGCTACAAAGTGAGCAAAGAATGCAGGAACGAAGGAGCCTACTCAGGAGAGCTCAGGGGCTCCAGGCACGTCCCCCCACCTCCTCCCCTCTCAGAGCAGAAGGGCACGAGGGACTGGGCTCGGAACTGTGTTTGTCAGAAAGAAACTCAGTTTTCTTCCTCTGCCTCGTCCTGCTCCTGCTTCTGCTCCTCTTCCTCCACTTCTTTGTTCTCCTCCTCTTCCTCCTCCCCATATCTTCTTCCTTTTGTGGCCCTCCATGACAGTCACGGTATTCATGTGACATATGATGAAATTCATTCCTTTCAGTCTCCTCACTCCTGTCGATCTAACTTTTCTGGAAAACGTCAAACATTAACCTGCTTCAAAACCCACGAGGAGGCCGGCAGACCCCCCACCCTGTGCACCCCTCCCTCTCTTTCTCCCCATCCCTGTCTGCTGACAGAAGGGTCATTTTGCAGTTTTCTCTTGCGTATCTTTTTGTGAAGATAATCGTATGCATGTGTGTTTTCTTAGTTACCCTCTTAGGTTCTGCAAGGCCAACATCACTGTACGTAGTCTTTGGTATTTCCGACCAATTTCAGGAGAACTTCCTTGTTTTTTTTTTTTTTTTTTTAATGGCATAGCACTGATCACGTGGCCATCTCAGGGTTCATTTACACTTGCCTGTAACTGGGCTCTGAGGCAGCTTGTGGCGTTGGCAATTACAAACCAATGCCTAGTGAATAAATTTTGTTCATGTGTATTTTTGAATGTTGGAGGGAAATCTTCAGGATAAGTCCCCACAAGGAGGGTTGCTGGGCTTACAGGTGAACCACAGGCACTCTGACCATTAACATGAAGTTCCCTTCCTTGGGGTCAGTACCATTTACACCCCAACAGCCACCATGAAGGCAACAGTTTCACTGTGCTCTCTGGGACAAGCTGTACTGCGGAGGTTTTGAATTTTTCCAATCTGGTGGGTGAAGAGTGGAATCTCACCGCAGTTTTGGTTTGTGTATTTTGTTATTAGTGAGGGTGAGCGTCTTTCCATATGCTATGTACTTTTTTCGAGTTTCCTTCTCTTTTTTCCCCATATATGTATGGGAATTTTTGTACTTCCTCAATATTTAAAAAGTTCTTTTTTTATATCATACATCTTAGCTCTTTGTCTGTGATACATACAAAATATTGGATATATTTTGTCCAGTTTTATATAGTACTTTGTTAGATGACTTTGCTTATGTACTTTTTGCCATGTAAAGTTTTGTTAATTCTTATTTAATTCAGTTGATCACTTCATCTGTTGCACCCAGATTTGTAATCATGCTAAGAGAGCCTTCTCAAACACCCGTGTGACACGGGGCACACATACATGTCTTTGCTCCTGGTACTTACAGCATTTTATTCTTTATATTTTGATCATGACTTCATTTGACACACTTTTTTGCTACTTGAGTTTTTATATAGTATGAGGAATTGACTTAATTTTATCTTTTTCCAAATGGCTAGTCCACTGTCTAGTGTGGATTATAAGGAGACCTTAAGATTCGGCTTTTATCATTTGCTAGATTCTGTACATAGCTAAGGCTTACCATTTTTAATGTACTATATATGCAGTAATAAAACTTGTATCAAGTAAGTGCCCTGCGGTAAATTAGTTCTCTACAAAGGAGTAGTTTTAAAGCTAAAATATCATCTAACGACCTTTATACTATTCTTACTGGAATGTTTGATTAGGTGTCACAATCCTAGCAGCCAAGTGGTCATATGTCCCCAGCACTGGAGCTCATACTTGGCTGAAATGCTGACTCCTGAACTTGTTACTAAAAATTCTTCCCTAAATATTCAGGTGTTGGGGCCTCAATATTTTATGTGCTTATCACGTAACCCCAGCAGGAAGGGCAGGGGGCTGGAGACCTCCTTTTGAGAAGCAGAGTCTTGGAAGAGAGGGCAGCTGTAGTGCGGTGAGAGTCCAGGAATGGTGTGGTGTCTTGTGTGAAAGGTGGCAGCTGAATTGTTTGGGCAGTGGTGAAAGCAAGGAGCTTCCCGCCCACCCGAGAGCAGACGCTGAACTCTACTGCTGGTGAATTCACACTTGGTCACTTAGACATCATTTAGACGTTAATCTGATTTAATGTTTTAGTTCTGTGGTTCCCAGATCTTTTTGTTTTGCATATTGCTTAGTAGGCTAAGGACTCCAAATGACTTACTTTGGGGCTTAAGCCTCATTTAGTTCACGGTGATAGGAAGGCTGCTCTGATTTTGTGAGGTTAGAAATTAGATTAAATAAGTACATTTGCCGTGTTTAATAGTGCATATTCTATGATAGAAACTGTAATGTTGCTCAGTACCCTGCCTCTTACCATCTGGGAAGTTAGTACTCTGGGCGCATTGTTTCCAACCAGAGACCTAAATGCTTGGATCTGGACATGATAATTTATGCAGCTTTCTACCGAACTTGGACTATGGATGCTTGGCCACACGGTGGGTGAGAGTGCGTGAGAAGCACACGCCTCCATTTCTGAGCCCATCCCTGAACATTCATCCCCAGGCAGATTCCCCAAGGGACTCGTGTCTCTAATCTCTGTTGTGCAAGTTCCCTATGGATAAAGTTCCAGGTGCATGGAACACGCATGGTCCCATTTGCCGTGAGGTGGTGAGCGTGAAGCACAGTGGTCCGGGAGGCTTAAGGTTTCCACTGTTTGCACCTCTTCTCATCTGGCATTAGTCGGGGTGGTGTTCCTTATCCCCAAGTCCAAGCTGCACGGCACAGCACAGCACAGCACAGCCAGAGAACAGCTAAGCTTGGAAAGGATTTCTGGCATATCTGCAGTCTGGCTTTTTTTTCTTGTCATCTGTATTTCATAACATAAATTAATGAGACTTTCATTTTGGTGAAATCTGCCTGCTGAATGATGATCACAAATAACACAGTCATCCATTAGCATTTGGAATCTTGATTAAACCGTTTTGCAAGCAATTTCAGTCTAGCAGCTGTTAAAGAGGAGAGATTGAAAGGAAAAAATATGACTTGGCACTGAATCATTTGTGCTTCCTCCATGGCTTATGAAACTGATGTAGATTATAATATGGTCTGTTAACGTACAGGGGAGCCCTCTCGGCTTTAGCCCTGATTACCGTCTGATACAGAAATGATGTTTCTGCCGTACGTTGCTAACAGGATGTCACACTCGTAAAGTGTTGATACTGGCCCCTTTTTGCTAAAAGTATTTCCTGAAAGTTTTGCTTATGCTTTTGCCACACCTTCGTCTGTCGCTTCCCTCCATTATTCACGTTCTGTTGCGATTCCTCGCACTGGGCTCCTGTTTTCCCTGCTTACTGTTGAAATCCCTCAGCTCATCCACCGGCTGATTTCCCCAGGCTTCTCGGGGTATCCTGACTGTCCCCGCAGCTTCACAGGAAGACCTTGGCGTGTGCCTCAGGATCCATGCCCAGGAGCCCGAGATGCAGTGGATGAGCCTCATGGCCCCAAGGATGTGACCTGGCTCTGTCACTCTTCCAGGGGAACATTTGAAATTTTTTGTCTTTACCCTTTTCTGGTATGGGTCCTGAATCATCATCTTAGTGTGATCCAGCGGGTCTCATTGAAGTTGTTTTCAGTAGACGGATGAAGTCCAGCTCTGTATCCACCGTCCTTCCTTACAGCTGCCCCTGAAACCTGAGCGCGGAACCCTGAAATGTGGAATGAAAAAATCTTAGGGAGATGAAGTCGCTGGCATAGTGCACAGTGGCTAAGCAGCCTTTAAGCATATTTTATAAACATTCCATTGTTAGTGGCACTGACATAACCTTGAAAATGCTTTGCTCATTGTATTCCCCTGGGGAAAACAGCTCAAGTAATAACATAGATGTTCGTGTTGTTGTTGAGTTATATCAGGCATAGCTCAGTCTTTCCTGAAGTTGCTTATTTTTCACTGTAATAGAACTCTCTTTAGTGAGTGAGTAACTTTATGTGCATTTGTTTGGGAGTGGCAGCAAATAGTAAAAATAATTTATTGCATGCAGTTTCTCCTCTAACCTTTGCGTTATGCACGATGTACTATTTTTTCCTTGTCTTTAGGAAAACAGATTTCTCCTCCTAGAATACTACTGTCCTCAAGTCAATGCTAACCCTCTTTAAAATATTGTAGTTTGGGATTAAAAAGTCCGGCTTATTTTTTTTTTTAACCAGAAGGTCCAGACATCACTAAGTGATGAGTTGGTTCAGTGACTCAGAGATGTCACTTCTGACATCTTTGCAAGTTTTTCAGCCTTTTGCTTAGGGTCACAAGAGGGCTGCCATTAGTCGGGCCACTGTATCTACTTTTAAGTCAGGAGTCAGGGAAATGACCTGTTTTGTCTTTATAACTTAAGAAGTGAATATAATATTCTTCTCAGGAGGATCTGTAACCTTAAAATATTGTAATAAATAATATTGTACTTTAAAATGTATTATCTAAAAACAGATACATCAGCATTACATCATAAAGTTCATTAAGAAATTTTGCTCACCTACAGTACCGATGTGTTTTAAAAGCTGAGACCACAAGCATAAAGGAAAAAGAGATTTTGCCTTCTGGGCTCATCGGGAAGAAATGCAAAAAATGGGCACACACAAGGCAGGGGCACGTGCGTGATAACCACTGAGCCTCGCTGGCTGGGGAGTGGAGCTGTGGCATGGCACCTGGGCCGTGAGGACTGGGTCAGTGGTGTGGTCAGTGTGTGTGTGGGCACCTCGGGCAAGGGACTGGGACGGCTCATCATATAGGGTGAGGGTGGGGCTTTAGTCTCACAGTTCATTTAGGGCTTGGACCTCTGTCTTTCCCCTGGTCATTATGCTGTGGCCTTGTGTTTTCACCAGATTCGAATTCCCCACAGCTTCACTGTCCTGGAACCCAGGGACAATAAGGTCCATGTTTTCCTGTGTGAACGTTAGTATTCAGTAGCAAGTGTAGTGTATTGGTAATCCAATGCCTAATCTGACACATAACGGGGATAGATTTCATCATGTAAAATATAAAAGATGGAATTTGTTTTCAATATCTGAAAATCAGAATATTTCCTAGGTACATCCCGTTTCTCTGGAAAAATGAGAAGGTATGAAAATACCAGGCCTCCACTCCTGTGTGACAGTGACAGACGTCATTGGCCATTGGCCTCATTTCCTGTTGGTTTACAACATGCTCCTCAGCCTCTTTTAAGGTTCGGAGTTGGTCCCCCAGGGTGTTCCTGTTTGCTCCCTTGGTGCCGGCCACAGGGTTATGTAAAGGTGACCAGCTCCCGGTTCTCTTCCCAGTGGAGCACTGGACTTCTGTCTGTGCAGACAGCAGCCCACTGGGTGTCAACAGGTTACACTGGCTGTGCCGGTTTCTTGCATTCACAGGGCTCACTGAAGTAGCTCTGTGTTAACGAACATTTCTAGTTATCTCATACATAATTTCTGAGCCTCTAAAACGACTCCTCCTTTAACGACACTAATCGAAAACAGCTCTGGAGATGACACAGACAGGACTGGGGCTGGAAGCACAGCGCCCGGGCACTATGGCGCATTTTGTTGGTGTGGTCAACTCACTTCATTTCACGGGGCCCAAGCTTCTTCTCTTAGGAGACGTCTGTAAGGTCGCCAGCACTGAGGTTCTCACTGGCATTCTGGGGTTACATGATGTCCTGTTCCGGGACATGTGGGTCAGTACCGGCTCACGCAGCTGAAAGGCACTATTGCTTTTTACCCTTAGGAGTTTTAGAGACCTGATTAAGTGTCTCACTAGGAAATACCCAACTTTCAACCCCAGTCACTCTTTTTAGTAAGAAGGATTCCAAAATATGGGATCCCATATTGTGGATATTTAGAGGTTGTGGTTCTAAATCAGACTGGAAGCAGGAAAAGGGTTAGAGGTTTTCACATTATGTTTTGCTAGAAGAGAGGGTCCTGTCATTGAGCCCCTGACTGTGTGGGCTAAGGAATAGCAAAACAGAGAATTATCAGGCTTACTTTGCTCATTTTAATCATTGCAAAGTAGATTCAGTAGGGAGAAGGGACTAATCATACCAGGAACCGGATGAAAAACTGCGGCTGCTAAAATTCTCAGTTCAAGGATCTCTGTTACGCCTCTGGTCGACCGCAGAAGAGAGACTTTTGATGCCAATATGGGCTTGTGCTAGAAAGCTGTTGATTTTTATGCCTATAAGGAAACTGGAAAAGCTCCTGTTCGTTTCTGTCCTTTAAAATTTAAATGGCCTGTAGGTCGGATGGGAGAGCTTCAGTGAACTGTCAATCTCAGATGAATCGGAGCCAATTTTGATGAGGTTTCAGTGATTTGTGGATCACTGGTTGCAGGATCACACCATTCATCACATAGTCTAGAAAGCAAAAATCTGGATCAATTTTTGGCCATTGAATTGCTAGGTCTTTAACCTTGGAGTACAGGGCTCTTTGGAATTGAAAATATGACATAGGTTTCCATGTACCAGAGGTGAATGAACCTATGTACCACCTCTGAGAAAGTTTCTTTTTCTAAAAAGCTTTAAAATTTTCTCCAAGTTATTTCAGTTATACTTAAAATGATATTTCTTTTTTTTTTTTTTTGTCTTTTTCCTTTTTATTGGTACCAGGGATTGAACTCACGACTGCCTGCTTGAAAGGCAGGTGCTTATGCCACTGAACTAAATCCGCAGCCCCCTAAAATGATATTTCTAATACCAGGTAACTTTAATCCTAACCATGAATTCTGTACCTTTGTTTAGTGACCTTTCAAGTTCTCTTGATTTCTGTTCTTTCTCTCAAATCATCCCCTCCCTTCTCTGTGAGTTGAATCTTAATGGGAGATCCATATCATGGCTCTCCCATAGACACCCTGATGGAGCTTGGGACCACACTCTCCAGGCTTCCTTCCTGTCCAGTTTCCCATAGCTTGTTAAAAATGAAACTTGCCTACACAGATGAATGGAGGAGACATTAGATCTCTCCTTCCTTCGGTGACCTTCTCCCCTTCTGAACTGTGGCCCTGCTGACCACTGTGGTCCCAGCCCCACCACCAACACTGGTCTACAGACCCCCAGAAGCACTGCATGCCCCAGGTGCTCATTTCTAGTGCACGAAGCAGGGCTGGCACACCATGGGGTGGGGGCTTGGCCGTGGGCTCAGGACTCTGCCTTTAGCTGAAGATAACTTTTCCTGTTCACGACGACATTGAAGCCAACACTAAATATTGCTGACATTGATGCTAATTACAGATTGATGTTAATTACAGATATGAAGAATGGGCACATGAGAAGAGAGATATTTAAAAAATGGACATGGCTATAAAAGTGATGCTAATTATATGTATTTATATTCATGGCTCATTATTTATAGCTAATGAGCGTGTGACACAATGACAGTGATGCAGATTAGATATATCAAACCACTAACTTGTCTCATGCAATTGCAGCAATAAGCACTCTCCGTGGACACAGGTTGTCCTGTAGAAGTTTGTGTGCTGACATTCAGAACTACTGGAAGTCAAGAAGTTCCCACGGGGACACTACGGAGTGAGGACCACAAGGATAACGATTTTACATTTCATCCCATGAACAGTACCATGGGAAAGCTGTTCCTGTTTTTCTGACAAGAAGCTAAGGCCCAGGGAATATAAATAAATGCTCTAAACCATAATGATATATTTTGGACTCGATTTTTTTTCTAAGTTTTCTCTTGGCTCTATATGGTGAAGTCAAGCTGTTGGAAGGTGTTTAATAATACACATAAATACCTTTAATCAGTGGCATGAAAACAATGCCAGGAGAGATGGTTATCTACTAAGAACTTGCATAATTAAGATGTTTGGGTACAGGCAGGAGTTCTAGGACCTGGGTGATGACATAACTGGCCCTGTAGTCAGATTTCAGAAGATGTTTTTGTTTTTGGATTTTGTGTCTCTGGAGGGTTCTCAAAAGCTTCACAATTCTAAAACAATTCTCTGGTTTCCCTAGCATCTTTTGGCATCTTTTAGGTACCCAGATGATCTCGCCCTGTCTTTAGTATTTCACATGTACATATCCTTTTCCAGACAAATAGCAGTGTCCATGGAGACACGTGTTCCTAGACTGAGTGGGCTGTGAACCCTCGTGTCCTGTGGAGCTTGGGAGATGGACGTTCTGACTGACCCATTCCACAGTGAGACCCAAGCACTCCTTGCTGTTTTGAGATTCATCTACAAGCCATGGAACAAAAGGAAAGTTAATTTTCCAAATCTGAGGCAAAGCACAGAGGACGAATGGAACGTAAAATGCTCTGAAGTGTTAAGAAAACTAGATTGCGGCCTCTTCAAGCGTATTTGGGTCCCACAGTTTACCTTGTGGTTAGTCTTGACTTTGTGCTCCCTGAAAACAACGTGGCAGTGAGCCAGTGAGCAGTGTACCCACTAATTTGTGGACATGAAGCATAACATGCATCTGTTATTGCTGAATTAATGAGCTTATGATTTTCACGAAGAGGTAGATCAATTTTGAGTTTTATCAGCCTCAGTGGTTGAAATGAAAATATCAACATTTGTTTTTATTCTCCCAGCAAAGCAACTAATTGTTTTCCTCTGGGTGATGATAATTAACAAAATCCCTCTTGTCTTCCCGACCAGTGCACAGCTGGTACTCAGATAATCACAAAGACTTAGTTTATGTGGTGACATTAAACCCCTAACTTGGCACAGCACATTAACTATATATTATTGCCTGAGCTTATTAATTCTAAATTGTGCCTCAGTGAACTTCTCAAATTGGGAGCAACATTTATATTAATAAATGATAGTCATGGGGGGGAGTTACCGTGAAGATCCATGGAGTATGGATTTCTTTCTCTTCTCTGAATGTAAGAGCTAAGCATGCGACTTTGATATGTTTGAATAGGTTCCAGAGCAGCACCTCATTCACTGGTCATGTATTTTTAGGGTTCTTTTTCCAGGTCGTTATGATCAGACATGTGCTCTACAGGCCCGGGTCTGGGGCTGACATGTCCCTGCCCTGCTGCCTCTGCTCCTCCTCCTCACAGTGCAGGTTGGCACCCAGATTCCCTCGGTGCCTAAGGCCTCTGAGCAAGTCCACTTCTCCACGCGTGGACTTGCCCGAGGGCTGTCATCCCTCACATGTTCTGTGTAGCATCACTTGGGTGACAAGGGCTGTGTTTCTTTTGATTTATGAGTTTCCAGCATTGCTCAGGGAGGGTTCGTAGGTAGCCGAGCAGGGAGCACGGAGGAGCGCAGTGGGGTGAGGGTGCTCTTGGCCGCGTGAGGAAGCCTGGCTTGGCCTGGCCTGCGGGCAGCCTGCAGAGCTGGGCCTCTGCTGTCATACAGGGGAGGCTGTGTTTGCTTTTGCAAGGCCTCAGAAAGTCAGCAAATGTTACTTCCATCCTACAGGGCTGCTGTGGAAGTCCTTAGATGCAATCATACTGTGTGCTGGGCAAAGTAGGCGAGAGGTGCCTTTATGTAACCCCTTGGAAAGAAATGCAGCAGAATCCATCAAGAACTCACGTAGAGATTGTTTTCTTTAATCTCGTAAAATATAGCACCGGGAAATCAATTTTAATGAAATTCATGGTAGAGAAATAGCTTTCCTGTACACGGGAGGTGCCTCAGATTTGTCTTAAGTGGGAAACACTGTTAGCACTCCTGTCCAGCACTGTGGGGATGGTCAGTGGAACGTGGCCCATTAGCCAGCGGGCGCTTTGCATGTCAAGTTAAAGTGTTTCCCACAATTTGATCGTCATAGGAAAAATCCTCATGTGAAGGCATAAAGTTGATAAAGACATCAGATGTAGAAAAGGCCCAGAGGAAAATATTATTAAATGTAGTCATAGAAGAGACCAGAAGAAAATCCATCAAATTTTAATGGTTTTTGGTTGTATTTTTTTGTTTTCTTTTTGCCAATTCTATTAAAAGACCCTTTTAAAATTTAAGTTATTTTATATTACGAATATAATGACCTACCCATGAATTGCAAGAGGGATTTTGTCAATGGGGTCACAGTAATAGCTCCATACACGCTTACAAAGTGCCTTGATCATGCCCATCCACCCTTCTTCTACCACCTGGGCGCCCTGCTGGTCCCCAGGGGCCCTTTTGAGACCCCATCCTGCCTCCTGTCTTCCTCACCTCTACGGCACACAGCAGATCGGCTCATGACGACACCTAAGCAGTTTGTCTGCACATCTTGGAATGAGGAACAGGCAGATTTTATACGGAAGATGTGAGAATCTTCCCCTTTCTGCATAGAAAAGCACATGTACCATAAAGGAAAAAGATAAGGGCTCACAGAACCCGGAGGGAAACTGATCCCAGTGACTTCCAGCTTTTGCATCTACCCCCTCATGGGGCCTGGTGAACACCACGAGATTCTTGTGCCTTTCAGTGTGTGGCTTTTAACTTCCAGTTGGTTACTGTTATCAGCAGTCAGGTATAAATACATTAAAAAACCATTATTTTGGGGTGCTTTAAAAATTCTGCAATGAACGGTATTACAGTACTATAGAACTGCTAATAAATATAATGATTGGTGGAGTTTTGAAAAATAGGCATTTTATCAGGAGCTTTTCTGACACACCTTTTGTAGCAAGTAAGGAGGTGCGACAATTCTCTCAGTACAGTAAAATTCTTACCTTTGTTTTGTCACCAACTAAATCCATACAAAGCTGAAGAGGTAGGGAGAGGAAAACTGGTTATCTGTGAGACCACTCTAGATGCTCCGCTGTGAGCACTGTGTGTTTCTTTCCTGGCTGCTTCCCCTGCTTGTACCTAATGTCGCCAGGGTGGAGCCAGGCATAGTCCTGTAATTGCACTTTAGGGAATGTTACACCACGAACGATTCCCCTTCCACAAATGCTTTCATTCATCAGTATTTCTAGTGGTTGGATGGTGGTAAGCAATTTTTTGTGTGGCCCATTCAGGAGTTAGGGGACAGAGGTTGGTTAGCCACATGGGTGGCCACACCAGGCTGAGTGTAACCCACAATGGTCAGAGGCAAATGGAATTACCCAACTTCCCAATAACAAGAAAAATAAAAAACAGACAAAATACTGCGATCCTGTGGTCATAAATGACCTCTCCTCCTTACTAAATCATTGCTTCTCAAATTCTAATGCTCTTTGAATCCCCTGAGAGCCTTCAGATTCGGGTTCTCTGGGTGGGTGTGGTGCCCACGGTCTGGAGCTGTGAAGCAGCCCTGATGCGTGCCTGTGCGCGGCTCTGTGAGACCACCTTTAGAGCCAGGACTGAGAGGACCCAGCTCAAGCCCAGCATTCCTGTGAAATCATGTCCACTGTCCCTAGGCAGGTGGCCTTCTCCTGTTCTGGTTCTCCAAGCACACTATTTACACTTCTGTGTGGCACCTAGCACACGCAGCCTGCCTTGGTGCACTGCCCTGTGTGGTTCTGCTCACGCCTGAGCTCTTACAGTGATTTCTGCACATTTCCAGAAAGCTGTCGGTCCCAGCTCAGGGGTGCGGATGGCACAGGGGTATGAATGCCGTCCCAGCCCATGATTGTCAAATTATTGAACTGTATGAAAAAGATAAAATGATATATTGAAAAAAATAGCATTACTTAGACATTGACTTATAAATTATTAACCTAGAACCCCACTAGGGGAAATCATGGGAGATAGCAGTCATGTAAATTACACTAAATGGCAAATAAGTGGGCATGGAATTTTTATTTTTAAAATGTATTATGGACTACAGATTGAATGGTAGATTCTGTGGGATGACCAAGCTAATTTGGCATGACACATATTTCCACAGATAATCAAATATATGGGTGATGACTGGTTTTTCAAATTTTGAGTCCAATTTGGGTCATGGGTTAATGGGCCTCCGAGTAGCACAGGGCCTGTGGTGGGTCGCCTCGTCCAGGGCTGGGCCAGTGTGCCTGGTGGGCGTGAGGTCCCAGACTGTGCACATTCTTGCTGGTGGGACACAGGCAGTGGCCTTGCCTGGGGCAGGAGTTTGTTGGCCTTGTCCTGGGCCATCTATTGGATGATCCTGGCTCTGTTCCTCTGGAGTAAGTGACATCTCATTTCAGGAGAACTTTTCAATTCTATTTTAAAAATTGACTCATTCTAAATAGAAGAGAACCTCTGTTGTCAGTAGCTGTTTACTACTCGACACTTATGTCCTTTTGAAGCATAAAGAATTTTCTGACAAGTAGATAGATATATCGCAAAACTTTTTCAACACTTGACTCCAACTCCTCATGATTGCTATGACATTCTTATAAAGAAGTCATTTGAGGAAACAGCAATGATATATATATATATATATATATTTTTTTTTTTTTTGAGAAACGGTCTCAGTGGAGAAGACGCTGGTGCCTCTCTCTCTCTTTTTAATTTTCTCCTTGTCTCTTCTGCTGGTATCCAGTATTAGTTATGGAGTAAACAATATTTTCCAAAGACTGGCAGAGTCAGCTGCTCCTGGAACGCAGCCCGTGACCTCACTGATGGATTCCTGTCCATGCAGGCGCCTTCCAAGTCCGTTGAGAGGTCAGCATTCTTCCTGCCTGAGTGCTGCCTGCCCTGGAACATGGTTCAGTTTCCACTGATAAAACTGAAAGTGTGTGCTGGGGCTGCCGTCTCAAAGGGCACAGCGCTGTGACTCTGGGGCAATGGTTTGTCTCGTCAGCCCCGGGAG